TTGTGTATCCTTGTGTGCTGTCATTGGGGTGGCAAAAACCAAGTGCCATGTTCATATTAGTGCCACAGAAAATGCTAAGGTTTTGTTCTCTCTCAGCGTCAGCGAAAGCGCCCTGGAGAGGCGCTGGATTCCACTCCAGCTCGGAAACGGAGCAGGCTGCTGCCCTCCAGAGCTGCTGGAACCTTGCAGACAGAACAAATTGACTGCGAGGAAAGTGCTTCACCTGCTTTAGAGCCTGGTAAGAACAGAAACTGCTTCTGGAGGCTTGGAGTTCATTTGAATGTGTGCTTTGGCCACTTCCTAGGCCCTTTCCTGGGGAGGAAGGGAACCTTGGGCTTGAGGAACCACCTGGTATGGCATCACTAAACAACCAGCCCACTGACAGCTGGTTTGGTTTGTTACTGGACTCTGTCCATTGGCCTCTAGTGGGAGAGGAGCTGTGTAGCAAAGGCCCCAAGTGCTGCTCAAACACCTGAATGTGAGCTCTGACGAGCTGGCAGTGACTGCAGCTGCCACAGTGGAGGTGGCAGGCTGAGTTTGGAAACTTTCCTTTTTAATCACACTTGAATCAGACCTGAAGAACTTAAGGAGGGAGCAACTTGGAGACCTTTATGTAATCCACCAGTATGGGCACATGGAGTTAGGGATTTATTTACATCATAAAAACCCATACTTGATTTATTTAATGTAGCCATCTCTAATCGAGCTTGAGTGGGTGAGGATCGTTACGTCATGTCACTGAAGAACCAGTAATAAAATAACCAGGAGATGAATTTTACTGGAGTGCAAAAGGGCTGAGATCTCTGTTGACATCAGAAGGAACCTGTTGGGAGGGTATCCTAGGGTATCCTAGCTCTTTGAAGATGTTTAATACAGCATAAAAAATAGCTTTCCATGATGTATTTACTTATTTTGAGTATATTTTATCACTTCATTCATGCTGTTCTGGGTGGAGGTATTATCCCACTCCTCTCATGCAGTCCTACATCAGTGACAGGAAAATGGGACAGAATGTCTCTGTTGAATATTAGCGAAGTGCTAGAGATCTTCTGCAGAAAGATGCTAATCTGGAAGAAAAAAATACTGGGTACGAAGGCAAAACACTCATCTGAGTGTTATATTTGGCTGATATGAAATCCCAGCCATTAGGAAGCTTTATGGGTCCTTTCCCAGGACCTTTCTAGGAAGGGTTTTGAAGTCCTCTTC